GTAAATATTTGACTCAAATTTGTACCAAATATAAATAATCACTGATTTTGAAGTGTGGTTGCTCCTAACACATACCGTCAGATGGGGTGACTTTGTGCAACGAGGGGTGACTTCGTGCAAACTGTCATTTTTTAAATTTTTGCGTCGTGCCATCTAGAGGTATTTTTTTAAGCTCGGTATCAACTGATTTGAGTTGTCAACATAACGAACTAGTGGTTACTGGCAAAGTAAACATCATCGTTCTTGAAAAATTGTGAGCTCAAGTTACAAACAGTTTCACATTTTTTAACGTTGCAAAATCGGAGGCTGGAAAGTCTGCTCGGTTGAATAAGTTCCAGTTATCCTGGCCAGGAAAGTAAGTTATACTTTAAAAGTCTTATCAATTGAGATAACAAATCATGCATAATTTTTAGTTTTTAATTATTATAATGCTAGTTATTTAATAATTAACAGTTTGCACAAAGTCACCCCATCTGACGGTACTAATACAGAACCCGCTGAACCTCTTTTTTTTGTTTCGAAGATCAACAAAAGTTGAGGCAAATATTTATATAAAAAACAGCACAGTTAAAGCCCATCACACGTTGTCAATTGATTTATTACAATTATGTTTTAGCCTTCTTTAAGAACAGGGTACAGAAAAATCGTCGGTATAGATGAAATTCTACTGTGTTATTTTGTTTGCTATAAATAATTAACTCGTTCTACCAAATTTTAAGATTTGCCTGTTTTCATCCCCTTCCCGACAAAGCTAGATATTTTTTATTACGAATACGATGTTGAAATCCTATTCATATATTCTAGGTAAATTATGTTAGGAAGATTTAAATAATTTAAGTACTTTAAGTTTTCTATAGATGTAATAGTACATTAATAGTTTTCTTTAGATTTTATGTTTCGGTAATGAATTCCGCAAGAACAATGGATTTCAAATTGTTTTTATTCTTCGAGTACGGAATGTATAAATGAATCCTGTCTCATTCATGAATGATAAATCCACTTTTTTTGCTTGCAGAAAGAAAAAAAAGTGGATTTATTTTGAATATCCTGATAAAGCATTAAACAATTCACCTACGATGAAGGTTTTCGCAATATATTATCATAAATATCTCATACAGAGAAGAATAGGAAATAAGTTTTCGTTCGATATTACTGAACTGCTTCCGTAAAGAGAAGAGAACGAGAGGCATGAACGAACTTGTTCAAAGCAAGATGAGTATCGCAGAACCCGGATGTATACAATGCAAAAGTCGCTCTCCGATTGGCTACATCGATTTCCTGCGGCACAGCTGACACTCGATTTTCTAGCCGGACTTTAATGGGACGAATTGGTGCAAAAGATTTTTCCTGTCAGTATTAGCGCCATCTGTCGAAAATGTCACTAACCAGACAGAACTCCTTAATGAAGACTTTATAGAATATCCAAACAAGCTCACAATGGCACAATCTGAGCGTTGTTTTGATGTAACATACGAACACAGAAAATATTTTATCGATCCACTTTTATAAGAATTAAGAGCTCGCAGTATTTTGTTTTCCAGTCGGAGATTCTTTAAAATAGTCTAAACATCATTACATAAAACAGAGAATTATAACTTATACAAAAAAAACTTTTAAGACAAGTTACTCTAACTTTTTTTATTATAAGCAAGAATATTATTTTAAACGCTAGAGTCTGTAGTATAATAAAAATGTTCAATTTAGCTTATCTAAGAATACGCTATTCAGCCTTTCATCCCTTCAGTGGATCCATAAATGAGTACCAAGCATGCTTGGGAACTAAACACTGGGGGTTCCGCGTTCGGCTGACCACCTGACCGGAACATCTGCTCCTCCACCCCAGAGCCCAAGGTCAAGAAAACTGAGATGGGCACAGTAGGCATTGGCCCTCTATGGGCTGTCGCGCCGCTGAGTTTAGTTTAGTAAGAATACGTTATAATAAATAATACAAACATATACTCGTAAATTATAAGCTATTCTCCCAGGCAACAAAATGAATAATGAAACTATTTTTCTTCCATCAAAAACAATCTTCTTTAAACCTTTTATATTCTAAAAACAGCCTAAGGCATATATATGTTATGTCATTGTTATGTTGATTTTCAGAGAAGCATTTTATCTCATTGCTTTTTCAATACCGAGTCAATTTTGGTCTTCCACGTTTCAGTTTACTTGTTAAGTATAATCCTAACCAAAACTTGTTTCACTTTAATTTTTTTTCCTGGATAGCAACAAGTATAACATGCATACAGATGAATAAACAAATACTATTGAGAAATAAAACAAAAAGAGACCAAGCTAAAAATTAAAATTTTAAAAAAATTAGCTTTCATAATAATCTAAATAACGTTCTGTTATCAAATAAAGAGGACCCTGTATTTTTTTTTTGTCTTGGAGCTTGTCAAATCTGTGTACAAGTGTACATCATAGAGTTCCGTGTTTACCTTATAAAAATATCGCTTAAATTCTCTGAATAGTATATACCTGAGTATAAAACAACTTTACAAATCCCCAACATTTTATGAGAGAAAGGGGTTAACTCATACAACCATTAATAAAACCAGACATTCGTTGATCGTGAAATATCGATGCAATATACACACAATGTCATAGATAAGAATAACTCTCTATGAATTTACCTTTACAAATCTCCCCCTTTCAAAAACTATGTTCAATATGTTACATGCAATTCATTTTGCATTTTCTCTTATTTTATTTCCTTTACCAAAAAAAAAAAATAAATAAAATAAATAAATAAATAAAATTTTTTTTAGAAACAATACTTTAAGTTAAGAATAAGAAAAGTTAAGAAAATTATTTCAAGAATATTTAAAAAAATATAGCACAATGAAATTTTTTAAAGCATCCCATAAAGCTACAAATTTAAAGATTCTAGATCATTATTCGCGTCTGATTGATTAACGTTAGCAGAGCTATACTTTGCAACTCTCTGCTTTGCAACGGATCGTACTTTGCCACAGATTCTATTTCATCCTCATCTGCTGAGTTGAACAAAAAATCGTCTTAACCCATATTCAAAAAAAAAATAAATAAATAAATAAAAAAATAAATAAAATCGGGATTCTACATTTTTAAAAATTTTTACAATAACATTTGATACATTTTGCCACGCTTCTAGTATCAATTGACATATGACATTTATAGAAATAATAATCGACTCTCCGACAGAGGTCGATTTATACACCCAACATATAAAAATTTTTATCTCGTACTTTCGTCCCCAACATTTGAAATTTACTATCTCGTAATAAAAAATAGGGGGACGACTTATATATTCCGAGATATAAGGTAGTTTATTTTCCAATCAAAATGTAATGGCAGCGAAATACTTATGTTTATATAATAGCTAGAATAACTCAACTGGTGGGCCTCTATAAATGCACTTTTATTCACAAAATTAAATTCGTTTAAAAAAGTAAGTCACATTTATAATACATAAACAATCCTAGGCCAAATTATTAGGCACACTATAAGATTCTATGTAAAATCTTAATTATCAGGTGACACTATACAGCTTTATTGTTTTTACGAGACAGAAACCGGTTTGCACTTGCTAACGATCGTGTATCAATTGGTTAACATTGTGATGCAATACGTTAAAAAGAAATACAAATAGGAGGTGTATAAAAAATCTCATGAATAAAAATCCGTTACATGTGTGTTTAAATATAAAAGTATTGTATATAAACTTGTGCAAAATATGTTGTTATTAAAACACTACAGTGCGATTAATAATTTGATCTAATTATTACAATATAATAACTGATGTAATAAATATTTTATATATATAAAATAAATCGTCCAATTTATCCAGTCGTCTAATTTATATTATATATCGCCTAATTTAACCAATTGGCACTCGAACGAAAACAAGTACAAACCGGTTTCAGTCGCGTAAAAGCAATAAAGCTCTATAGTATTACCTGATAATTAAGATTTTACATAGAATTTTATAGTGCGTCTAATAATGTAGCAAGAGACTGTACAATGAGTCTAGTTTTAGGACCAACATTGTTCTTAGCCACTGCTAACGTCGACTATCTATGTCTGCCAGAAATGAAAAGGTGCATTGTCTATGTGCTCCTAACACCTCAAATTTTAAGAATGCAGTTTTAATAAAAATATAAACAAATGCATAAGAATAGTTAAAAATATTATACAACAACAGCACTGAACCAAGAAACTGAAGCGGTAAGATTCATACCTAATTAAAAAAAATTCATTCGCTTAAAAAATATACAAATTGGTAATAACAGACGACAAAACGTTTCGAGGGCTATACCCTGATTTATCTCTCTCGGCCACTGTGGTTTATCACGTTCTGTTTGTTTTTTCTATCAGCTACTGTGTTTTTCTAACTTTATTTCTCATCTTTATTTTTCTATTTTCCGTTGGCAATTTTACGTTTTTATTTCAAATCACTTTTTCTTTTCATTCACGCATGACAAGTCTTGAAAATGCGCGCCTTTCTTGAGCTCTTGAAGCAATATACTTTATAAGGTAATATAGTTTAAATGTTGTAGTTCATTTACGTCGTACTAGAGCTGCACAATGGGCTATTGGCGACGGTCTGGGAAACATCCCTGAGGACGATCCGAGGACATGCGATCACAATTTTGATCCTCCGCAGAGGGGATGGCACCCCCGATCTGGTAGCCCGACGACCTGCGCGCGAAGTCGAGCACTTTACGGTAGAACAGTTTAACGAGGACCAATACAGCACACCCTCGGTCCCTACGCAGACTGATCCAAGATATCACCCACCCGCACACTGGCCGCAGCCAGTGATGCTTGACTTCGGTGATCTGCTGGGAACCGTGTCTTAACGATCAGTCCACTGCTGGGCAAATATAGTTTAAAAGTAACATACTTTGCTTATAAAGTACTATACTTTACTTCAATAAATATAAATGAAAGAATTTCGTGTATATAAAAATAAAGAAATGATAGAAATTTTCAATTTTGATTGTAAAGCTTACTTTGAGTGTAACCAAATTCATCTTCCGATTCGGAATCTTCTTCTGAAGGGCTAAGTTTTAAATTGCCGGCACTTAAATTGTCTATCTGCAACAGAGAGACAAAAAAGTCATGAATATAACAGGTAATTGCAAAATACATTCGAATTTTTTTATACATCATAATTTACTTAGAAATTTTTTTATTATTTTAAAAAAAAATTTCATTGGGAAGAAATATTTTAAAACAATGTGAACAGTTATAAATTGTCTATTTTTTATTTGCTTATGAACTGATTCACTCATTCACTAATTCTATGGATACACTAATATGTTTAATCATTATTTCACGGTTTCAAAAATTCGCCGATTCAATAAATTGCTTCCATTCTACTTCCTTTATTCACTCGCTATATCAGGAATCATCATTAATGGTTGGCATAGTGATGCGCTGTTCATACAGAAGATTATAATATTTTGAAAGCTTTTCGTTTTATTTTATTTAGTGAAATAAGTTTTAATGAACTTACTTACTTTTATTTTGAAATTGTAAACCTTTTTAAAACTTTAACTTTGAAAATATGTAAAAATATTTACAATCATAAAATTTAAAATTTGGAAACTAAATTCAATAGAACATATTTCAAAGAATAAAATGAGAAAAAATATACTAATTAACGAAGTCATTTATTAGTTAAATAATAAATACTAAAATCGCATTCGTTATAATTCGATACAGGTTAACATGAAGGAAGTTTAATTCATTTTCAGACTGCAGAAGTCATAAGTTCACATCCTTTTCCCCCAGACTATACTATTTGTAATATTTTGCAGGTTCTAGAACCCTAACGTACCATATTAAAAAAAACGGAGATATTAATTTCAACAAAAGTTTCCTTACACCCAATTAAAAAAAGACCCGTATGCTTCAAATTTTTAAATGCAACAAAACAAAAATTTCAATAATAATGAAATAAAATTTAAAATTTTATAAATATTCCATTAAAAAACTGATTGAAAACTTGAATTCCAAATTAGAAAAGTTTAAATAATTTTACGTAACATATGTTCCAGTTCTAATTTGTGACCAAGAAATTTACATATTATTTTTGAAGAAAAAAAATTGTTGCGCAGGGAATATTTTTAATAATTATATTTTTATTTAATGTTACGCTAAATTTCCAATAATAATTAACAAACTTTGTAAATAAAATGCCTTGAATATGTAAGGTTCACACAAAAATAATTAATTTCTAGCGTCAATAAATTTAATAAAACATTAAAATTTAAAATTTTCACTTTTAAAATTTTCTAGGAAAACTGTATCCAAGAGAGCGTTATATAGCGGGAAAAATCCTTCATGGCGAATTCTCTTTCTGCTCCATAAGTAATTGAAATTTAAAGTACAGTAAAAGTGATTTCAGGTAGAGAAGGAGTAAATCACGAAGCTTTTAAAGCGGAAAAATAATTTCAAAATATTAAAACACAGACAAATTATTGCAAGTTTATTTCCCCCTGTGTAATCCTGCAATAATTTGTTTGCATTTCGAAGTCTTGAAAATTTCATCAGCATTTAAACTTCAAAATGTTTTTGAAATATCAAACTGAAAATAAGCTGTTGAATGATTACTTCTCCACTGTGGCATCTTACATTGAGCAATCTTGATATAAATTGTTTGCATAAAATTCTGAATAAAATTTTCAGCATTTAAAACTTCATGGTTTAATCTAGGTTTACTTTGGTCAATTCTTTACATTTTAACACTTTTATAGAATTCACGATGAAGGGTTTCTCCCGCGGGGTAGTGTGCATTTTATAAGAGATGGGAAAAATCATTAAATATACCTGTTTTCCTTTCTTAGTAAGAACTTTCCCTTCAGGTAGATCAGTGAAATCATCTTCTTCACCATTGCTACTTTCGACAGATTTTTGAATTATGTTTCTAAAGCTGTCTTCTGTCTTGGATTCGTTTTTCAGTTCCTCAGTGGACGGAGTAACTATATCAGGACTATCGACGGACAGTTTTGTAGAGGGGTCAACGGTGACTGGAGATGTCCTTTTGGAAGATGTCCTTCGTTTGATAGTGGACTCTCGAGAGGACGAAGTGGACGAGGAAGCAGATTGTGCGTTCGAAACTTGAGAAGATGTATCACTTGGAGAATGTGCTGACAATAGCTGCAAAAGTATAAAAAAGTTTTTTTCTTAAATTGTTCATACAAGTTTTAGTGCAAGGTTGGGCTACTACACCAAAAAATCTATTATTAAAAGCTTGTATATTTTGCAGCAATGATGGTCGTGCGACAATTGTACATGGTAATAGCGTCAATGTATTATAAGGTAACAATTGTATATGGTGATAATTGTCTTAACGATGGTCGTGATAATCGAAGTAATTTCTAGATAGGAATCAACTACATTATCAGATCAAATCTCACGAGTAGGATTAACCAAGAAACAAATATTATTGGAAATGCATCAAATGGAAAACAGATGTAACCACGTGGTGAAATTAAGTTTAAAACTACAAACTTTTGACTAAAAAATGAATATAAAGTTAAATATTGCAACATTGGGAAGATCGTCTCAAATGACTAACGAAACAGAATGGTTAAAATGATGATAGTGTATACTTTGTGCGACATATGAATAAAGCAAAAACATTGTGTGAATAAAGTTTAGACAAAGGTACTGATGCAGGGCAAGGAGTCCCAAAATAGTAAGTGCGCCAAAAATATTGATAAAGTGAGCCAAAGGGTGAGTTTGGCGAAGTTCCCTCTTGCTGTTGGGGTTGCATCCATTTAGGAATCAGTTGAAGCGCTGCCTTGGAGTACGAAGGTTGAATCGAATAGACATGAGGCCCTGGTGAGTAGTTTTAGTCCCCCCCCCCTTATTGTGTTACTAAGTGAAATGGAATCAATTGTAATCAAGAAAATTTTAATCATTAAAATCTTAAATTAACTTTAATATGTGTAATAGATTTTAACTCTAACATGATACATACTAAAGTCATATCAATAGTTGTATCAGTACATAAATGACTGCTTTATAGTTTTGGTTCTTTAAATCATAACCTCTGGGGTCCAAACACAAAATGAATAACGACGAGAAAAAAACACCAATTAACAAACTCGGCGACTATTTCAGTAACTAATTGAGTGTTTACACACATTGTGTGTTTGGGCACTGAAGAATTTTCTTGTTTATTGCACCAAAGCTAAAGTATGCTTATTTCTGCACCTTTAGTTGTAATTTATTCACGTTATTTTACGATGCTTTATTCAAGCTTTATTCGCAACAGAATGGTGTTGGATGACTTGGCAAGTATATATCTGATAAAAGTAAGCTTTATTCACTGATGGAAAATATGCGAAAGGGGGAGAAAATTCCTAAGGGTTATACGATGTGAAATTGTCAAATGTAATATTGTAAAAATTTTAATAAAAAAAAATAAAATTTTTATTTTGATAAGGATTGAAAAATGTCACACGCATATCACACATAAACATGCCATCAAATATTGAATCAGTATTAGAAGATAATGATAGTTAATTGTTAGTTAGGAATTTTAATTTATCGATCGAATATTTTATTAAAGACGGTAATAATTTATAATTAAAAAAATTAAGAAAGAAAATATTACACCTTATTTAAGGGAAATGCCATCATGCATTTTCCACAAATTAACTCTTTCTTTTTTGCTAATTTTCCTAATATATAAAAGAAATTTTTTTTTTAAATTTTCAGAATTATGCTCGCCTAAACTATTATTGGCATTAGGATGTCGAAATAAAATATTTATTTAGTCTGTCTACCTCGTAACGGCCACAAAGACAACAGAAAAACAACAAATTTGAGATTAGAAGTAATAGCCAAGCAAAAACAACTAAGTTTCAAAGAATGCCGAGAAACTATCTTTATTAAACATTTCATGGCGTTTCTTTATAAATATTCTACTAATCTTCTCCATTCTACCATTTACTGCATTTAATAAAACAACCAAATGTCATTTTTCTTTCTTTCTTTACCATGTTAATAATCAGACAGAATATCGTAACCTTCATATTATTTGACCTGTTAAATAGTTCGTTTTTAGATGATTTCGCTTGACTGTTTATGAAACCAGCTCTGCACTTCAAATTTATTAATCTAACCTTATTTTATGAAACTGAAACTCAAACATTAGGCAATGCGGATCGATCATGGAGGATTTGGAGAGGACACTCTGGAAACTATGGAGCTATCATAATTCGAACCTACATATACATTTTAAAGAGTGTATTTAAATCTAAAAATTTAAACTGGAAAAAACTGACACCAAGCTCACGCGCAGTCACACCATGCATGAATTATTTTCGCATCCAAAACACAAATGCTGACGCACTTCGGACATCGTTAAAAGAGTATTTAAAACAGAGTACGCGCTAGCGAGAGTTAGTTGCTGTCTTTCATGCTACAATACAGAAAAAAAGTACGCCGTTAAAATCTGTACGTATGTTTTTAGTTCGGTAATAAGATAACTTATATTTGAATTTTTATATCTCTGTGAACTGTATTAAATAATTTTATTATATATATTATCTCTCCGCTTTTCTTCTGTTAAACCTAGTTTTAAACTGTCTAAATATTCTCTATATTCTAGGGGCTAAGCTTGTTTTTTGTTTGCAAAATATTTTTATTTTAAGAATTAGTGTAATGGAACTCCGATTTTATGTTGTCCGTTTTGTACGTTATCCTGTTTCTAATGTAATTTTCTGCTGGTTCGAAACATCTACCTATACAGATGTTATGTTAAATTTTTTACGTTACTTCTTTTATAAAAATTCCCGTATATTTCTAAAGATAAAACCAAACAATTTTTTTACAATGCTCACAAACATTTTTCGAGTTCTTTTTTATCAAGGGAGACATATTTATTAGCAGTATAGAGCCGTTCTAGCTGTTTTTCTTTTCTTCTAGCCTATTTGTTAGTGATAAGAGGTTTTTCCCAATGTCCAAATCAGAAAGGTGGGAAAAGGGGCAAATAACGTGACCGAACAAACACGGGGGACACGAATGCCTTTCGATTTTTTCGCCAACTCTCTATGAACAAACAACAAAGAAGGGCAGGATAAGAGAGACAACTGCCGACTTTCACGTTCTTTAATGTTCGACTTTCGCGAAAACTCCAGATACCTAAATTCTGCATGCGGTTTTTAGGCAATGAAGATTTTGAATAGGGGTGAGGTCGTTCAACGATTCTCTCAATTCAAGGGATAAGAGAGACAACTGCCAATAAAAGTAATGTTCGCTGGCGCGAAGACTCCAGAAGCCTAAATCCTGCTGGCAGTTATTGGGCAATGAAGATTTTGAATAGAGGAGAGGTCATTTCAACAATTCTAACAATTCAAGGGATAAGAGAGACAACTTCCAATAAAGATAATGTTTGACTTTCGCGAAAACTCCAGATGCCTAAATTCCGCATGCGGTTTTTAGGCAATGAAGATTTTGAATAGGGGTGAGGTCCTTCACCAATTTTCCCAATTCAAAGGATAAGAGAGACAACTGCCAATTAAGGTAATGTTTGACTTTCGCGTAAACTCCAGATGCCTGAATTCCGAAAGCGGTTTTTAGACAATGAAGATTTTGAAACTCCAGATGCCTAAATTCCGCATGCGGTTTCAATGAAGATTTAGAATAGGGGTGAGGTCATTTCAATAATCCTAACAATTCCAGGGATAAGAGAGACAACTGCCAATTAAGGTAATGTTCGACTTTCGCGAAAACTCCAGATGCCTAAATCCTGTTGGCGGTTATTGGGCAATGAAGATTTTGAATAGGGGAGAGGTCCTTCAACGATTCTCTCAATTCAAGGGATAAGAGAGACAACTGCCAATAAAGGTAATGTTCGACTTTCGCGAAAACTCCAGATGCCTAAATTCCGCATGCGGTTTTTAGGCAATGAAGATTTTGAATAGGGGTGAGGTCCTTCACCAATTTTCCCAATTTAAGGGATAAAAGAGACAACTGCCAATAAAGGTAAAGTTCGACTTTCGCGAAAGCTCCAGATGCCTAAATCGCGCATGCGGTTTTTGTTCAATGAAGATTTTGAACAGGAGAGAAGTCATTTCAACATGTTGATGACATGATGGCAGTTGTCGTTCATTGACGACAACTGCCAATAAAGCAAACGTTTGAAGCAAGAAGCGTCACTAGGTCTTAACACCGAAAAACTCAGAAAAATATGCTAAGAAATGAAACAACCTTAAGACGCCCCCGTATTATGATTTAGAAAAAAAAATAATGGACGGGGTGGTTCAAGGTAGTCCGAGTAGCAAAAATTCTTATAAACAGATCCACCGTGACAGAAAAGGAGCTTAAAATTGCTGAAAGACTTAAACTTCAAAGTTTAATTCATCGGATGGCTGGATAGATCGATTCAAGAAAAGAAACAATTTATGCTTCAAATCTGTCGGTACAACGGTACAGAAATGGAAAGAGACAATTTAGCCAAGTTTATTAAAGGGTTACAATCCAAGTGACATACTTAACGTCGACAAGATGGGTCTATTTTTCAGCTTGTTACCCAACAAAGAAAAATTGCCACGGAGGAAAAATTTCCTAAATGACTGCTTCTTGAATGATTCACTGACTCTTATGTGCATCTTACATTAGGCAGTATTCTCACCGAATGAGGTTGCCGTACATTCAATTGCCGTCGAGGAAATGTGAAAACCAGATAGGTGAGATATATTTTCCCTCGATAAACTCACCAATCAGGTTCTCTTATTCTCGCGACGGCGATTGGAGGTGCTGCCATCGCATTCCGTAAGAATGCTTACGGTATAATTATAAACTTTAACGTTAATGAATACCAAAAATAGTGGCAGATAGGAGTGTAAAAGAAGATTATTGGTATTTCACTGCAACAGAATTATCCTTAATTCTTGGGGTAGTGAAACACCAAGAACTATCCTTAGTTCTTGAGGTAGTAAAACACCAAGAACTAAGAGTTATCTGTTGTGCTTCACTACACCATTTAGATGTAGAGTAGTTGCCACCATTTTTGGGGTAAAGATATTTAGTGTACTGAAAAGGAAAAGTTCATGCTGACAGCCGAATTTTCATTTCAAAATTTAAAATTTTATTTGTTTAAAAGAAGATAGAGGCATTAAGAAATTTCATGTAAGTAAATTTTAAAAATGTGCTTACTTTTGGTATAGATGCTACTTTGATGTCCGATGCGTCATTTTTAAGTGGATTGTCTTTGGTGTTATCATTTGGAACTTCTAATGCAGCACTTGAAATGGGTGGTGTTTCCACATCACTTTTTCTAGACTGAAAGGAGTTATTTAATTTTTATTATATGATTTCTATAACGTTTTAGATGTTATTTTTAAAATAAAAAATAGCCTTAAAAACAAGATGTAAAAGTAGCCTTGTGCAAAACAAATTAAAATCACTAGAACATCTCAGGGTTCAGAAGCCCGTTTCTAAAGAATATAAATTCCAATGGATAAATCATAAAATTTCTTAATATCATTACTATAAAACTAACTTTGAGTAGCCTGGGCTCTGACTACTAAAATTTCCTTGTTCTGGTGACCAAATTATTTTATTCATGGTTTTTATTATCATTTATTATAAAAAATAAGTAATTGTTATTAAATATTGTTATAGTCTAAATATTCAATTCACTAAATTCACTTCAATTACTCTAGTGTTACTGTTACGTATCTCATCTGTATTTCTCTAATTGTGATGTAACCCAAAAAGCAGTGCTTCACGATTAGGAATATCTTATTATAAGTGCGCAATTAATTCATAGTTTTCTACTGTCTCCGACAATAATTTGGAAAAAGTACTGGCCTATTCGTCAACCGGAGTAGTTTTGTCTTTTTTAAATTGAAGAAAACGATCACAGAAAAAAAAAAGGATGGTAAAATTGAATTTGAGAACAGTTTAAGGTAATTATTTCTATAAATTATGTTCATATTAAATCCGCATTCAATTGTCAGATTCTCGTTATAAAATTTTAGTAGTTTTGGAATTGTAAGCAGAATAATGAGAAAAAAGAATATATACGTATACTAAAGATTTAGTCATATACGCATTATGGCTCACACTGCTTGAAAAATGTCCTGAGATTTTTTTTCATAAAAGACTTTGCCTCGAATAACTTGGCTTAAAGATGAAGTTTCAAATATAACATCCGTCAAAGAAAAAAGGTTCGATTCGTCCTTCATTTCTGAAAAAGTGAAAGATTTTTTATTCCTATCCTTGTTTCTCAGACTGCAACTTCCAGATCACCATCGCCACAAATGTTCAAAATTTCTGCCAGAAAACAAGAAATTATGAGATTCAGATGAAACATTAGAAAATTGAAGATCTCGCTTGTTTACCAGAATATCGTTTGTTTACCAGGAACACACGCTCTTTAAAATTCTGTCTGAGTCCCTCAGAGAGACTCCTCAGAGTTCATTTCGGCTGCGGTCACTACGAAGGACCTTATTCCAGCTCATCTAAGGTAGTTGGAATTGGAAGTTATTAATGATATCCTCGATAACACTATAAAAATATTAACGGATGGCAGTAAACAGGCGGACAACGCTGGAAGATGTATCTACATTGAGAAACTAGGGCAAAAATTCTCCACCTGTATCCGTAACCCTGATTTTATTTCAGTATTTAAAAGCGAACTTATTGCAATCGAACAATGTCTTGAAGCTATTCTCAACGAACGCGACTTCAGAGATATCTTGATTCTTTTGGATAGTCTCAGCTCCCTTCAACACCTTAACAATTAGATTATAGTGGGAGATAAAACTATCATTTCCATAATTCTTAAACTTATTTCAAAGCTCCACGATGTTCATTTTAAGTGGATTCCATCCCACGTCGACATCTATGGCAATAAACAAGCGGATTGCTTAGCCAAGGAGGATTGTAGTCACTCTGCACCTTCCTCTTCAGCCCTCAGAGCATCAATCTAAGGTTAAATCAGAAATTTCAAAGGAGCGAAAGATCCCTCTTTGCCAAAACTCTAGTACGCAGGTAAAGAGCTCTTCATTTGTTCTTAACTTTGACAGATCCTCACAAACGACATTTGACAAGTGGACACACAAAGAGTCTCTTGTTCTTTGAGGGCAGGAGGATCTTTGTAGTCTGCTTTAAATGCCAAGCTCAGCAGGTCTTTGCAGAACACATCCTGGACTGTCTGGGTCTTTCCAGGGCGGACTTACACGCTTCTCCCCTTCTGGTTCTCGATTTTGTGAGGGTTAACGGACTAATGAATCTTGTCTGACTTCGTCAGAGAATTGGAGGATAAGCCACAACAACAGCATTTTTACCGAATTGGTATTTGTACAGCTTTTTGCCGACTTCTGTAATCAACAGAGCCGTGGTAGCCCAGTGGTTAGAGAATCAGACTCCGGTCACAGGAGCCAAGGTTCGATCCCTGACTCCTTTAAGCACGCACCCACCGAGTACATGCGATATACGTGTTCTTAAAATATGTGGAATCTTAAGTCACTGTGGGATTTTAAGTTAAAGTTCGGTCACTGAGCAGTACCATAGGTACAAAGAGTTGAAGAAAAAACCCCTCCCTTTCAGATCTACATCAAAATTCAGCAAGTGACCTCACAAATAAGCTCCCCACTGTAGAGGATCAAAACTGTTATGGCATGTCTTCGAATCATCCTCAGGGATGTTTCTCAGACCGTCGCCAGTAGCCCATCGTTCTGCTCTAGTGCGACGTTTACCGTAATTACCACCTCACACAAAACTGGCATTTTTTGCACCTCTGTTTGCCCCTCCCTTTAATAACGGCGGGGATTGGTTCGCTTAAATCACGTGAAATTTTTCTAATGTGTTTTTATAATTTTCGAATGGCAACTTATGCCTAAGGTAAAGTTTAGTTCCTTTTCTCATCTCCTCGTCTGGAATCAACAGCACTCTCGAGTATTTACGAAAGAGTAAGATTTCTGGTCGCAAATCGTGAATAAATTCCAAATTTTGTTGATAAATTTCTCGAAAGTAATTATAGTATGCTTACACTGATTACAATTATAAAAATAGGTTGCTTGATACAACGTATTCAACTCTGCATAATAATTTTGATGATTTGAATGTGTCCAATTTCTGTTCTGAAAATGTTTAATATTTGAAGATGTTAAGATTATTTGATGACGTTCAAGGATAGCAACATTTTCAAATTAATCACAATGAAGTATTTTTTAAATACAAAATATTTCAATTCTGTAAAAAATTACGAGAAAAAAAATTAAAATTAGAATATTTTTTCCTCCATAATTGGGCAGAGGGGAGAAAAATCTTGAAAACTAATCAAAAGGTTATACGGTTAATAATAGTGCTGTTTTAAAAATGAAACAAGAGAAATGAATTAAATATTACTTTAAAAAAAAAACAGATACATAGATTGATGGATAGATAGACAGAGATATACATAGATAGAGATATACATAGATATAGATATAGATAGATAGAGAGAGAGAGTGCCTCACAACGATAACTCTTGTTTTGTTTATTAGAAATCGAAACCAAACGAAGCTGACAACTCGGATTGGATTGACCGCCAAAATTGGCGAGCAAATGGTGTTATAGATAAGGCTTCGAATTCACGGGTCTGCCTCGGATTTTGGGGTAGTGATTTCCGTTTTCACGCATCACCTAAACTTTGCCAATGCTGTGGGCCAGAACGCGTTGATGATTACGGGGGGCATCTTCATCTTCGTCACTGTAGGGTACTTCTCGGCTACAACTCCGAAATCTCCCGATATTGGTACGCCAAAAACTGTCGAAGCAATGATTTCGGCCACTCTTGTTTCTTTATTATCTTGAACCCTTTTTTAGGATATTATTGTGCCTAATATATAGTTGAATTTTGCTATGCTTTTAGAAAAAAATATATATTCATTTTTATACTAGTGTGTGCCGCTGCTCGAGAGCAACAAAATACGAACGCCATGCTTTAAACGTTGTTGTTCTTTATTATTCATAGTCTACAAAAAATCGTGTCTTAATCTAAAAAATTTAAATAAATTTTTTTTAACAAGATATAAACACTGAATATTACAGTGAAGTAATAATCAATATTAATATTTTTCATATCGTCAAAAATAGCTTTACGTAGTAACATTACCCAAAAAAATAAACACTTAATTTTTGTTTTATACGTTAAAATTCCGAGTGGTAAAATAACAATTTATTAAACAAGATAGAGATAAAAAAACGAATTTATAAAATTATTGGAAAGATTGCTTGAAATCTAATCACACCATATAAAAAATATATTCCAAATAAGGTGACAAAAATAATCAGTTACCTCTAAATTGCTAAATCAATAATAAAAAAAATTTGTTTATAATTAAAGAATTAATAGAAAATAAGTGTATATTTATAAGTTTGAAAAATAAACTTTTCAATAATTTCAAACGATTTTCCAGATTGTTTAGGTTAGTTTAAAATTAGTAAAATGTACGGAAAATTCGTAGCGAATGAAACATTTGACAATATTATAAAAAAGTATTATAAAACATTTCTGTACATTTTATTTAACAAGAAACATTTTTGTTTAAAAAACGAAAAGGCAGCTGACATGGCATTTTTATGAAACAAAATTTCCTTACAAATGAAAACAAGAGTTTAATATGGGGAAGAAAAAAAAATATTAATAAAAATGAAAAGAAATTGGTTTGATATATTGTTTTATTTTATTATTATGACGTTTCTATGATAAAAATATATTTATCATAGAAAACGATAAAAAGTACATAAAACATATATGGAAACTAAATGTACAATTTAGAATAGATACATCAAAACAATCATTAAAAGATAATAATAATCATATATAACTTTTGTGCTCATTCTTACCATAGGCACTAAGCTCTGTATAAGGAAATTCACAGGATTGGGAGCATTTTTTATCACTTCCACGGCTTTGGAATGACCAGCATTTCTAATATCTATACCGCTTACCTATAACGATTTGCAATAACCAGTGATATGCATATATATACAAGTACAGACAATTGTATAATGATACATTTTGTAAGTATATTAACATAAAACGTACATGTACGTATGAATGCAACTAAATTGTATAGACAGTGCGCAAAATAAAAAAATTGACTACCCGGTATACCTTTTGATCTAATGATCGAATCATCACGTTCTAAAGACTCAATCTTAATGGTGCAAGGAAGTGACTTCAAATATGCTAATTATTTAGTGCATTATTTAGTGCGTTTTTTATATTTTAAGTTACGAAACCAGACACTAAAACGTACTTTCTCTGAATTAGAGTATTTAAAATTCAGGGTGATATCTTTTTTATTTTGCGCACTGTACAATGTATGTATGTTTCATGTTTGTACGCACGGTATAAGTGTGTCCCATGCATGCATGTTCCATGCATGTGTATATAATACACATAAGTCCCATGCATGTATGTATAATACATATAAATCCCGTACGAGTACTGACTCAATTGAGTTAAATGACAAAATCCGACGATATTTAAAATCAATTGGATACCTGCAAAAGACATATCGTTTGTCGATTCAGACCAATCAGGTTCGACACATACGCGTGACGTCGTTTACGGGTATTCAATTAAATCTGATTTAAATCACATGGTTAGGCTTAATCGCTTTTCTTTTCGTCGAGTAACTAATTATCAGTTTTAATTGTTCGATATCATTTTAAAATTATTTGAATAAAAAATAATTTTCAATATTTTAATTAAAAAAATATAATAATGTAGAAAATAGTACAGCATCATAAAAGAGTATTTCATAGTATTAATTTATTTCTAAATTTCAATTATAAAAATCAATTCTATTTATAAAAAAAATGAACTATGTAAACACGAACCTCCAGTATTCGATCTCCCCTCCTTAGGGTACCATTCCATCCAGCAGGACTATCCGGCAAAACATTCTTTATAAAAATACCTCCATGGACGGTATCTACTTTGCCAGATATAATGCTGATTCCTAAACCTTTCACTGCATCTCGTATCAATTCTACATTTCGCTCTCCTCCCCACTGACGGGCTATATTGGCTGCATTAGTTTCTGCCATCAGACTCTCGATTGTCGACGACTTGGATTTGGCTAGGGGAAAAAAATAACAACAGAAAACATAAAGAGTTGATTTAAAAATAATTTAATGATATTGAGCTGCATTAAATTCTAGATCAATGAGTCCAAGAACCCGACTATCCCCGGTTGATAAAGTATGGGGGCAAAATTAATGGTCACAAGGCGGTTAAACATTTTTTTAAATTTTATTTCCAATGAGCTGCACAATCGGTCTTGCCGATGAGCAGACCTAGTGCGTTCTCCAGAGGTGGTATCCACTCTTTCAGGACCACCACAATGGGTGACATACCGTTGGTCATGTTAATTTGGACGTCTAGGACGGTTAAACATAACAATGATTAAAAATTTGTTTTTACGTCACCATCCAATTGCATCTTTTTTCATAAAAAAATTCACCTATATTTTATATAAAATTATGTTTTGTATTTTTTAATATTTCATAATATTCAGAAAATTACTTTATTTCACACTTTTTTCATAAAATTTTTTCCATTTTAGAAATAAAAGCATATTTAGAAAAATTCCTCAAAAAAAAAAAAAAAAGCCTTACATTAAATAATATAAATAGTTTTTTTCATTCGTTTAAAATTTTGAGTTGTTTTAAAAAGTGGCCACTGTTAAAAATGCTACAACTGGCCAGAAGCAAATGTTCCTAATTTTGCCCTATAAGATAAAGTAATTCGACCTAAGCCTTATATTTCAAGCAATATTGAAATCAACATTCTAATATCTAATTCTAATATCTAATAGAGATTTCTAGATCTAATGTCAACTAATATAGATATCTGATATAAAATTTTACACCGGATTCTTCTTTCTTTATTAAACTTTAACTTGTTTCAATTTTAAATAAACCTGCCATTTTAATTTTCAAAATCAAATCTAGAAAGAAAAAAACTCTTTTCTGGCTTTAAGACAAACGTCAATAAAATAAAAAAAATCTTTATGTTATACCTTTGGCGGGCAGGATATCTTTAGGAGACAAAGATGCCCTGATAGGCTTGAAAGGCACTGTAGGCTTTACTTGGCTTACTATATTCCTAGCATCCGGTTCTTTAGAAGAAACAACAGAAACTGTCTCAGAAGACGTGGACAAGCCGGCAGTAGGCTTAGCAGCTATTATAGCATTAGGTTTCTGAGGAAGTTGGATTGGAGAGATTTTAGTTTCGGATACAGGACGTGCTGCAGTGGGCACCGGACTGCTCCTCTTTAGGAATTGCTTTTGTAAGGATGGGGATGTTTCAGTTCGTTGTAGAAGTAAGCTCTGAACTTCGGACACTAAAGAAGAATAGGAAGGTGGAGGATTCGTGAAAGGATCAGGCGGTTCTGTTTCAGGCACATCGTAAAATTCCTCTTCTTCTTCGTCAGATTTTTTGAAGTTCCTTTAAAATAAGATTAAAGGATGAAGTTAGACAAAATTTGTGGTTTTTAATTATTAGAAACAAGGGTGGTAAACAAAGTTCGTTTTGAAAGAAAACAATATATACATATATACCTTGTCAACAAAGAGTAAGTATCTGAAGATGCATTAGGAGAACTTTCCGGGGGATCAGCTGGTATATATTGAACTCTGAAAAATAACATTGTAAAAAAATTATGTAAATACATTTAACAAACTTCAACCATAACTTCATTAAAAAAAATATGCATCACAAAAGCAACGCTATTACTGACAATGTTATAAACCAAAGCCACTACAAAATATTAGCAATTTGTTAATTGCATTTCAAGAATACGACAGATTTACATAAATTATTGCAGAAAAAGAAAATATTATCAGATAACGAATAAAAACGTGAGTTATGTTTTAAACAAGAGGAAGACACTAAATCTAAGATAATTCATGCTTTTAAGTTTGTGTCGTAAGTTTTGATCGTGATAATTTAATATTAAACGGTTTTAAGCACTTAGGTGTTGCTCTAAGTTCAATTATTACTATTATTTTTTTAAGATAGTGTTCGACCCCGTCTGTGAACAGAAAAAAGAAACTTTTATGCTCAACTGGATGTTTTCAAACGGAATAACTGAATAGCAATTTTATCTTACATTGTAAGAGATTAAAAAATTCTATATTTGTTCCAAAAAAATAATTATAGCATTTATTGAAATTATAAGGTGTGGAAAGTTATGTTTTGACAGGTGCCAGAATGCTGCCTTCATTTTGGAGGCAAAAATTTAGCTATTATCACAGATTTTGGTTTCAAATTTGATGCGAAGTAATCAGGTTCAATGAAAAGCGTGTAAATCCTGTTATCATGTTTCTGTCTTGCAATGTTAAGAGGAGTTGGTAGGGCACATACCAATAATGCTAAAACTGACTTTTTCCGATGTACCTTTTTTTAGCATCTAAACAAGGTATTGCTTCAGTTTCTTTTTCCACATAATATTTACATATACATGTTTGTACTGTGATAACTTTTAATATATATCATTGACAGAATTTTTTTAAAAAAAATTATGAATTGAAAACTTTTGATTTGTTAAAACGTTTCTTCAAAACTCTTTCATAACTCAAAAAGTATTCCTGTTAACGTTAAAATATTATCACAGCATACAACTGATATAATCTCAAATATCTCCAAAACATTTCAGAGTGATATCAGTAGTAATTATTTTAGGAAAGGTGCAACGAAAAAGGTCAGCTTTAGTATTATTGATATATGCCCTACCTCCTCCCGTCTGGAATAATATAAGCTAATTAACAATATTTACGTTCAACTAGATTTAAAAGAACAATCAAAGTTAATTAAATTTTTAAAAATCGCTCTTCTGAGTAAATTTTTTAAATCGATTTATGTGTCTCAAAATTTTTAATACTATCAGTGCAGTAAAAAAAAATAATTAGAATAATTACATAACATCAGATGTTGATTTGTCGACATTTCTTAGAACTTCTCCGACTCTTCGAGCTTCGGCATCGAGTAAGGAACAGCCATTTATGGAAGCCAATATATCTCCCGATTTCAGCCGGCCATCCTGATCAGTGGCGCTGCCAGGCGTAACGGATGTGACCATGACACCCACAGAATCCACGAGGCTGACGCTCAAACCTATAAAATGTATTTAAAATAAAATGTCAGATTTACGATAGCTCACATAACTGTAGTAACCGCTAAAAGGTCCTGTTGAAGTATAACTTTCTAGAGGAAATAAATGTATTGGTTCTGATCGTTTTAGTAACTTTGAGCCCCATGTATATTTTCTTGGCAACTCAGTGTTTTAGAATTATTTTGTCACTATATAATACAGTAACTGTCTTACATCAGGGGTGTCAAACTCAAAAGCTGACTTGGGCCAAATGAACAATGCTTAACTTTAGGTGAGCCGCAAAAAAATCAATGTTCATAGAAACAAATATTTTAATTTTGAATAGTACATTGTAATAAACATATATAAAATTAAATTATTGTTTACGTCCTGATACTTGACATCTCTTCTCTGCTACTATCTTTACTATTTTGGGGAGAGATTTTATTGGCCGAGACTACTTTCAAAATTCACCCAACGTGAGCGTTATTAATACGGTTTTGGACATGAGATTTATTTCCATTCTTAACAGAAAATAATTGCTCTCACTGATAAGTACTTAATTAAAATAATTCTATAATACTAAATAATTTCATATGCGAATTTTCGAGTATTTTCAAACCTTGCGGTTGATATTCGTAAAATTCAAGGACATCCACTTCAATGAATTTTGTCTTAAAATTTAAGTCGTACTGAATCTCAATCACTTCCATTTGCATATAACTGGGTACTGAGTCTATATTTATTGAAAAATTCGAAGAAAACAAACAAAATTTGTCTTCCAAAGAATTAAAATCTTTAAACCTTGTTTCAAAATCTGTTCGAAGATTTTCTGCTTACTTTTGTTACAATGCAGTATCATCTAAACTAGATTTGTTCTTGTTGCACGTTGGGAAGTGCGTTAAATCTTCATTTTTCAGTTGCCTTTCCCAAAGAAATAGTTTATATTTGAATACTTTAATCATGTCAAACATGTTTGTAATGATCTGATCCTTGCCTTGTAACAATAAATTTAAATCGGATAAGTGTTGGGTTATATGAACCATAAAAGATAAATCTTGCAACTATATTTAATCGGAGAACAAGCTCGTATCTTGATTTTTAGTATGTAAAAATTTACATATTTCTTCTTTCGAATCCCAGAATTGTTTGAGAACCTTGGGTCAAGATAACCAACTGAACTCGCTGTAGTAGGATAAACCTGAATATGTACTATCTAATTGATAGCTCAATTTGAAACGGTCTCCATTTCAGCCAATTAGAATTTTACATTTTTGAGCGTACAATTTAAAATAATCCGTATAGTTTATAAATAAAGTATATTATAATTTTATATGCTGGTTCCGTTTCTAATTCACATTTCCAAATTATTTTTACTTTGCTTCGGATAAATTGACTGGGCTACAAAAATGTTCACCTATGGCCGCGAGTTTGTCACCTCTGTTTTACATCATGTAGTTGAACATACGCTCTTCCTCCTTTACGCAAATACAACATCTCAGATCAATCCCACCTCCTCTGCCTTAATGGTCAACGACAACAACAACATTAAAAATTAAACCTTGATTGCACTACAATTTTTCATAAAATATGCCGCCATTTAATAAAAAATACGCTTAAAATGTCTTACGTCTAGCACAGAAGCTACATTAATAAATATCATTAAAAAATAAAATAAACCATTTGAAAACTGAATAAATTATAAAGTTCTCCAATAGCTGATGTCTCGATATAAGCAAAGTCTTATAGCAATGATTTAACATTTCAACAACTATTTCGAGTTTCCTTTATAAACTTTTTTAAATATAGCTTATAAAATGCAGGAATATGCTAAAATGAAGAATTTGTATGAACTGAATAAGAGTAAGATTTTAGAATTTTTATTATTGAAAAAAATAATTTTTTAAAAAATTTATTTCGATAAATTTTTTTTTTGCGGATCCCTAAAAATTGTGGATACTACTATCTCTTTTTACATTTATTAAAAATAAATACATATATATGTAATAAAATCAAAAACTAGATGTTCAAATTTCTAATACGAAAAATAAATTTAAAATAAAAGAGAAATATATTATAATTATTAATATTATAATAATATTGCAAAATATGGTAAAATAGCATAGTATTTTTTCCCTTTTCGTTCGTAGTCTGAGAGGCCCACAATTTTTTTAATGCTAGCTTGGGCGGATCCAGCGGGGGGGGGGGGGTCATAGGAGTCATCCCCTCCCCTCCCAAATTGAAAAAAAAATTTTTTTTTTAATAGTTTACAAAAGAAATAAAATATTTTAAAAATTATTTAAGGGGGCATATACACCTAGGTAGGTCGGAAAAATCTATTTTGTTCCAAATCTAATTATGTTCTTCACTGTTTAAAGAATCATAATCCAAAAGATTAAAACGAAATTCGTCATAGTTTCAATGTAAACATTAAGCTCCAAGCGCGCTTCAACAGGTTTAACCAAAGATTGCACAATTTGCCAAAGTTTCTAAAAAACGCATTACATTTATTATTTAAAGATTTTGAAGACTTGAATTATTTATGTATTGTTCTATTGTTTATTATAAGAAAAATAAATGAGAAGACTAGCATTAAAAACCCCAGTTTTTTTTTTCAAAAAAAATATTTAAAAAAAATATATATATATATAAAAAATTAATTGTGGGGGGGGGATCTGAGTCTATGACCCCCCACCCCCTCNCTGTGCCCCCCCCCCCCCAGGAAAAATTTTTGGATCCGCCCCTGTAAGCTTGAACACGGAAAAATTCTCTACAATACGTATTGAACTTATTTTAAAAACATTAAGTGCAGAATATAACAGAAATATTACATCCAGATATTATTATATAAAGATTACGTTGCAATATTTTGCCTACCAAAAACATCTGATCCTTTCTTGATTCGAATTGTTTTTACAGGAGATATGTTGAAGTCATGTGGAAGAAAAATGTTATGTTCAATAGATGGCGCCACCTGCTGTTCTTGGATTTGATTTTTGAAGAAGGATCTCTGAAAAAGCAAATAAATACAAATTTTACAAATCAGTGTCATCTCATTGACAGTATAACGAGGGATAGCGTAAAGAATAAAAAAAAACTTTCCATTGAAAATAAACATAATAAAATATAACTTCTGCAACGAGACATCTCTTATTTTAAATAACTGAAATGAAAAACTATCGATACATTAAAATTTATGAGAATTTTAAATTATACAAATGAAGGACAATACGGTCAATTCGTGTTCGTTTGAAAAAAGTATAGAAAAATTCGGTTCGATTATTCGCAATTTTTTTCAAAATAATAAAACAAAATTCAGAAATATGCGTAGTTTAAAAATATATTATTTAGAAATAAGAGAAACCTATAAATAGCATTTTCACCAAGTAATTTTTTTTTTTTATTAACACGTTCAGTTGTATTTCTTCACAAAAGTTAAAACTATGTTTTGTCAACAATTTTTAAACAAGTGCGAAATTTGAGATAAAAATTTATTTTTATAACTAAATTAAATTCTTTAAAACATAAGTCTGCGTAATTTATGTATCATATTTTCATAGAAATTGAATTGATTCATACAATTTGATTATTTTTATTTCGTTATATTATAATTATTGTTCAGGCTCCATATTCAAATCCTAAACATGACATGTAAATACTATAGAGTTGAGATAGTATTCCAACTAGTATTCCCCAGTATTTCAATTCTATGGTAAGTACATCCTGCCTGCATTAAACAATGGGGAGTAATTCAGTCCTGAGCTGTCATGGTGGCCTGGACAAATTATTATAATTTTTTTTAATAAATTTAATGACATAAAATGAAAATAAGAATCATTATTTTTTAAACGTGTTTCATTTACAAACTTCTGGTATAACTCTAGTGATTTGGAGTACGGCATGGAACGATCAAGACAAATATGTCCCTAGGCCCACCTAATTTTCCGAACCCGTAATTAAATAATTTGAAATAAACTAACTAATGAACATAAATAAATAAATAAACAAATAAATAACGCATTTTTTTTTATCTAATGATTTTTAATATTTTTTAAATTAAGAAAAAAATAACAGATTTAAAAGAAATTAGTGAAGAGTAAAGTTTCTACAAATTTTTGTGACCCCTTAAAAATCATCGGCACTAGGTCAAAACCTATTAGGCCTAGGTGTTAATCAAGTTTTGATTGGACTTGAAATAGATTTAACACTTTTTTACGAACATAGTTTTCATTTAATATTTATACATAAAATTATTTTAAGGGAAAATTCGGTACCGTAATTTAATTTTATTCGCATAAAAAAGGATTATGTTTAACAAACATTTCTTTGCACTTAACAGACGCAGTTGGAAATTTTGTTTAATTTTATAAACATTATAATAGAATACTGGTATAAGCTACTTCTAGTTCTATACAAAATTACAAACACATTGAGTATTTGAAAACCAAAATGTCATATTAAAGAGAGAAAATAATGATGCATAAAAAAAGTCATTTTCAGAGGTTTATTGCTTATCGCAATATTGAGGGAAGGATAACATAAATTCGTAGGCAAAATTACGGGGACAACGAGATCTTATTATCGTAGAGCAGTGCTTCCCAAACGAATGACTTTTGTGTACGCTTTCTAAATTTTTCGTAACGCTGTGTACCACTAAAAAAAAAATGAGTGTATTTTTTTAAAAAAATATGTTTACTTTTCTTTCTTGGTACAAAGTTTTAGTTTAAAAAATTCTTAAATTTTGGTAAAAAATTCCATGTCAAGGATAAAAATTATATTCTATTAAAATAATCAAAATAAGTAGAATTTATTACAAACCTTTACAATAAAAAAATTGCAGAAAAGTTAAAAATCACAACTGACTGTCGGCACCATTAATTATTAACTGTTAACTCTGCAAAAAATAGCCAATAGAAAAATACGTAATCTTACATTTTCATGGCTAGCTTTAATTTTACATAAAATTCGTTTCCTGCAAGATATTTCGCATAAGAACGCGCCCCTGCTAAACTGTTCCCGTACCCCTGCGGGTACGCGTACCACACTGCACTACAATCATAGCTCCCTCTACTTACAGTGTTTCCCAAAGTGTGGTACGTGTACCCCCAGGGGTGCAACAAACGAAAATTTCAAAAAATTTTATTTAAAAATAAAGCTAGCCATAAAAATGCAAGATTACGTATTTTTCTGTTGTCTATTTTTTGCAGAATTAACAGTTAGTAATTAGTGATGTCAATAGCCAGTTGTGATTTTTAACTTCTGTGCAATTTTTTAATCACAGAAGCTGTTATCACAGCAAAAACAATATCCTTCTCACTGATGGGAATAAACTTAACAAAACTTTGCACCGAAAAATAAAATTAAACTTATTTTTAAAAAAATACATTCATTTTTTTTATTAGTGGTACACTGCGTTACGAAAAATTTAGAAAGGGTACACACATAAGTCATAAGTTTGGGAAACACTGTTGTTGTGGATATCTTTATAGCAAAAATTCAATGTTTCAATGATTTTTGTCTTTAAATAAATGATAAGCACACATTTTTTGCAGAGATCAAAGACTTTCCGAACGGATTACACAAACTGATAGAGCGTCAGTTCTTTCCACTTTTATCATATCTCATACAAAAGGAGAAACTAACAAATGGAATAAATGATAGTGAAATAAAAGAGAAAAAGCCGCACATCCTCTGCTAAAGCATCCGCTTATTGTTCACATAGATGCCGGCTTCCGTTAGGGCGTGGAGAAAAGAAACGCATTGATTAAGTTAAGGACGTTTGAATATAAGCAGTTAATGCTTCAATTCTTACATGAAAGAGAGATAAAGTCATTGAGAAAATGTGTGATAAATATGATTGATAGTTTTGAGCGAAATGGCATCAAAAGAAATGAAAGATATTTAAAGAAAATTGTGGATGGTGATGCAATAACAACTTCCTTTGCATAATAAGAAAAACTGTTTTATTCTTTGTGCAACGGACAGAAAAACAAAAAAGATGTTTGCAATTATAAGTTACTACTATAGTAAATATATGTCCTGATTGTAATAAGTTATTTTTTTTGTAATTACTGCTATTTTTTTGATAGTAAAATTCAGAAAAGGGTGGGAAGGTTTATTGATACTTTCTCAGCTAAGTCAAACCGATTAATTCTATGTTCGAAGTCATTTAAATTTCTATTTCAAACCCCAAAATTGACTCTTAATTATTAAAAAAAAAACTTTAACATTACTAATTGGTATTTTTTTGGCAACGAATAATAAGTCATTTATTTAAGAATCACTTATTATTATTAGTCATTTATGTAAGAATGACTTATTATTATTAGTCATTTATATAAGAATGACTTATTATTATTACTCATTTATTTAAGAATCACTTATTATTATTAGTCATTTATTTAAGAATGACTTATTATTATAAGTCATTTAATTAAGAATTACTTATTATTATTAGTAATTTATTTAAGAATGACTAATTACTATTAGTCATTTTTTTAATCAGTTATTAGTCATAAAAGCATGATTTCTATGCACAGAAAGACAAAGAAGTTAATCGATACAGAATGGTATAAATATCTATCATACACAAAAAAGTAATATAATGAAAATCATAGAGAAGAAGGTTGCAGTTCAGATTTAATATTCCAATTTATTTAACTTTTTAAATCGAATAAAGATACATGAGTCTAGAAAAAGGGAAATGGATAAATAAGGTTTTATTTATTAGATTTGCAATCGTATAATATTATTAGGATAGAACAGTTTCTTTTAGATTGAAAATAAAATTTAAAAAAAAATGCAGTGAATCACGTAAAGTACGTTTAAAATAAAATATAATTTCCAACTAAAATTATTAAAAGCATCATTAGCTATGGGAAAACATAACTGGTTTGATCTAGATGGTGAAAGGAAACTTTTATTTGGTAAGAAGTCAAAATGAAGAATAGGCTTAGTTGCATCGTATAAATAAATAAACTGTGCAACCAAAACGGTTATTTAATAAAGTATTTGTTAATAAAATAAATACTAATTAAAATGTTTTTTGAACATGAAGTTTCCAAATTAACCGTTTCAATTATTTTTTATTAAAATACTAGTAATAAAAAAATCAAAGTGATTTTCGAGTTTATTGATAGTTCAAAAGTTTTTCTTAAATCCAGCACGAAGTACTTGAATCCACTTAGTAACGGAAATTTTTTTCACCAACCTAATATGAAATTTTATCAAACAAATAATGAATGATACTAATCAACATGAAGAGAAACAATAAAAAACTGTTCTGAAGTAAACTATAAAATAATTACCCGTGTTGAAAATCAGATATTAAAAAAACATATCTAGTATTTATCAAAATCTAGTATAGAGTTTATTTAGTAAAGATCAAAACGTTCTCTTTAAACCCAGCGGGAAGTTGCACTTGATCTTGGAAGAAACTTTTTTACCACCCTAACATGAAATCTTATCAAAGAAATAATGAATGATACTTATTAAAATGAAGAGAAACAATTAAAAAAACTGCTCTGAAGTAGACAATTAAATAATTATCCATGATAAAAATCAGATATTAAAAAACCAAATCTAAAACAGAAGCTACCATTAATGGCAAAATAAATCTTTAAAAAAGAAGAAAAGAAAACGACATGCTGAAGTGGTTGAAGGAGTGAAGTACCCTTTAAATATCTAAATTAAGAGATTAAAGAGGAAAAAGAAGTGATGTTTTTCAAACTAAAAGTACGTAATAAATAGATATGAAGGGAAATTTTTTTCTTTGATTTTACAACAAGAATCCTTCACAAAAATTCTTTGAGTATATCAACAATAGAAAAAAAAATATTAAGTTAAAATATGTTTGTTAATTCGCATAAGAAGTTAAACATGTTTTTTTTAAAATTGAAATAATGATTGTTAAATATCAATAAATGTTATTATTTCCTTTAAAAGTTTAAATATTTAACACAAATACTATAGAGAACAAAATATACTTAGATATCCATGCAAAGAGAAATTAGAACTAGAACATAGCACAACATGTACTATGATATCCATGCAAAGAGAAACTAGAACTAGAACATAGCACAAAATATACTAAGATATCCATGCAAAGAGAAATTAGAACTAGAACATAGCAGAAAACGTACTATGATATATCCATGCAAAGAGAAATTAGAACTAGAACATAGCACAAAATATACTATGATATCCATGCAAAGAGAAACTAGAACCAGAACATAGCACAGAATATACTATGATATCCATGCAAAAAGTAACTAGAACTAGAACATAGCACAAGATATCCATACGAAGAGAAAGTAGAATAGTATATCGAAACTACTGAGCGCAAGGAACTAATAAATTCAAATGTTTATAAAATATTTAGAAAGTTCTTCAGGTTATTTTATACTCTTTTCTTAAAAAACAATTCTTTTTAGAGATTTATCTAGGAATACTAGGAATAAAATAATTTTGATTGCTATTACAATCTTAGATGTATCTAAATTCATTTGAATATTAATCTTGACATCAAAGCTTTTTAAATTAATTTAGTATAAAAGCAAACTTAAAAAATATACAATTCATTTGAATGTAAGTTCAAGTTTATAAATTTTTCAATACATTTGAACGCTAGAGCATACTTATAAACTTTTAAGTTCATTTGAATACCAATACAAATATAAAAGCTTTACTTCAACTAAATGCTCATACAGACTGAAAGTATTAACAATTCATTTTTATACCACTATAAACTTAAAAACTTTTAATTTCATTTGATTACTAATACAAAATTATTAATTTAACAGTTAATTTATGTACCAATATGAATTAAATTTTTTTTAATTCAACTAAATATTAAAAAACACCTAAATACTATAAAATTCATTTGAATACTATTAAATACTTAAAAATTATTCTATTCCTTGGAACACTAACAAAAACTTACTTTTTTTAAAATTCATTTAATTACTTTTGAAGATTTACAAAAAACAAAAAAAATTAACCAAAAAAAAAAAAAAAAAAAAAAAAAAAAAAAAAAAAAAAAAAATAGGGCACAAACTTCAAACATTTATACTGAATACTAATTAATATATACTTTAAACATTCTATTTAAGTTTATTAAAATTAAAAGCATAAAAGCATTTGAATTAGTTTTGTTAAGAACACATTCCTTAAAGTATTACTATTGTATTTCATTGCTAATATAGACTTAAAATATTTCAATTCATTTTAATATTATACACATTTAAGTTTTTTTTGGTCTTCTTATTAAAAAAAAATTATAAATTCACATCTGGTTGTAAATTAATAATAATTATTAAGTGATTCGTAAAAGTGTAAAAATTTTATACCGATATAAATACATAGTTTAAAATAATGCAACGAAAGTAACTTCAAAATTCAAAAATAAACTTCATAAATTTAATAAAACACTATGAAAAAGAGATCATTAAAAAGAAAAACTAACAATAATATAGTTACAAACAAAGATAACAAACTATTGATACACTTTATACAACAGCTTTAAAAAATTATAAGAAAATGTTCATTAAAATATCTTTGTAGTAAGGATTTTTTGAAAATCCAACTTTGATATTAAAAAAAAATATATTTCAAACTCACCATTTTTGCTTATTGTTCAATTTTATTTTTTAATGTCGAGGTATGTTATATAACGAAGCAAACATGGCCAAATAATTTAAATGATGTAATGGAGCAAACCTATCTAAACAATACCGAAACAAAACAGCTACACTACGTTTTTATCCTTACAGTCGCTGCAGGAAATTATACGAATCTAATGATGGTCAATAAAATCTTCACCAAAAAGAAGTATTAATGAACATGGTGACAAGAGCGTCAGTGGTATTTTCCAGACAGAAGGACTAAAAAACAATAACTTAAACATTTCTTTCATTTATTGTATTAACAGCTCAAGTGATATAGCATCCTTTATTTTATTCAATTGAACACGAGATATTTAAGGACGTCTTTCACAGTAATAAAATATTTATAAAATTAACAGAGCAGTTTCCTATGATAAGAACGTTAAAAAGTGTTTTCAGATTTTATAGAGCTTAACTACACTGAAAAAAGTATGATCAAAACTACCAGAATAAAGTAAAAGTTACCGTGTTTTTCGGCTCTATAGAAACACCAGAAAGCTCGGAAATTTTTACTGAAACACTTTGGCAGGGATTTGGGTATAATTAACAATAAAATATGGCATTATAATCTGTGATAAAATTCGGTAAATGTGTTAAAATTTAGTAATTTTATCATGATATCTCAGAGCATTTGTTTTTAAAACCATTTGTCCGGTTAAAATTACTTTCCAGTTTTGTAGGAAAGACTTTCTTTTAAATCGTAACACAACATGAACGGAAAAATTTCCAAATGAAAGTATTTTATGAATACTGTATATTTTTGTTTTATTTAATAAAATAAAATTTTAAAAAAATGAGAAATGTCATTACCATACAGTACGGTAATTTTACCAGAATTTTTTTCTCTGTGTACTCACGTTAAATTACATTTAGAACTTAACTATTCAAGTTAAAGTACAATTTAAAACCACAGAAATAATTTAAAGATATTTAATGTTTTGCTTTACAAATAATTAATATTAAAATGCAAGAAAAATATTTATAGATTTATTGAACCATGGACTAAGTAAACCATTAAAAATATCATTGAACCAATATATATTGAACATATATATTTCTGATTCAGCACAAAATCAGAAAAGTTCAAAATAGAAGTATATATTTTTCTCATAGTATGAAAGTAGTATGCATAAAAGTATTTTGTTATTTTTAATTTATGCAAATCGGAGAGTAAAAAAAAATAAATATCTCATGGGAATCAAAGAAAAATAAAATGTATATGAATTTCAATTCTGCTAAACAATTTTATTCTGTAAGTATTTATTCATATTTATGCGTTTTGCAATATTTTTATAAAATAATTAGTAAATAAACTAGCCATTTTTTGCACAATTTGTTTCATATTAAATATTTCGAAATTTTATGCTTTTATTGTTAAGTTGTTGAAATTAAAATAAAACTTTTTTTTCTCTCTTATTCCTACGTTTAAAAATAAGAATAAACAAACTTCGTCCTTTGTAAAAAACTTAGATTTTTTAAAGATAACCAAAATAAAAGCTACAATCCTATAATTGCAATTTCCTCTTTCTATATAATCATTACAACATAAGAATATGTTAAATATTATTCAGTATTCATTTTAATTTTATTATCATCAATGCCAATCAAACAAATCAATAGATTAAATGGTTAGAAAATAAAGTTTACTCACAACAAGGCAATTTAAAAACCGAAGTAATAAAATTTGATTTAATTTAGTTTTTGTATTTCTGAAAGGAAATAAGTTAAGTTGGTAATATTTATGATTCATAAAATCTTAAGTATTTTAAATAACGCATTTTTTACTAAAGTTACTTACCACATGTTTTTAAGCACCTTATAGTTCTAAGAAACTTAAATTACCCCTAAAAAAATGTGCCTGATCTTATCTTTAAAAAATGAACTATCAAATTTTAATTTAACAACTTAAATATCTTTTAAAAGAAGTAAGCAGTTAAGAAAAAAGGCATTTTTCCCACAATATAAATATGTCCAAAAGAATTAGTGTAAAAAATGAGAAACTAAATCGCATTTTTTACCACACAAAATTTTATTATGAATTTTGTATTACGTAAGATGAATGATTTATAGATATATAATTTATGTATTACATTATTGTTAAGAAACATCAGAAAAAAAATTTCCCGTCTATAATCTTTTTTATAACTCAATTAAAACCAGGGAAATGAAATTAATTTGTATAGTTATTTTGTAAAGCAAGCTTAAATTACAATAAAAAATATCATTCGAATACAAAAAAAAGAAGAAAAAAAAGCAAAGAACATAAATAATGAAATGAATATTTATATTTGCTCGTTATAGCACCTCCAATTATTGATTAAAAAATGCGCGGGAGCTCAAAACAAACAAAAATAAACAAGCAAATAATCTTGCAACAAACCGAGGCGCCACCCATCGAGTTCTGAATTAGAGCAAACGAACAAACGATCGATAAAACATAGCAGGAAAAACTCACATAGAAGGCATCTTGCTCAGGAGGAACTGGATGCATGGTATCTGGTGCTCGGTAATTTCCTGCATCATTTTATGAAACGTGTTTACGTTCTGGCTGCTGAAAGGTTTTTTTTTTTTTTTTTTCCTAAATAGCAGAAGATATTTTTTCAAAAGGAAGTCTACTTCAAAATAATCGTAAACTGTGCAAAAGGAAACTTTAGATCATAGAACGATTTGAAGTGGAAAAATAAGGATTTCTCATCCTTCACATTTAAATCGGAATATTTGGTTACTGTTCGAATTGAAATATCAACATAAAATTTACGATGGTTTTGGCGTTACTTTTTGACAGAATATCTTACACGCGTTTTAACAAATGTTGCAGACGATTTTTTTTGTTAAAAAATGAACCATATGGATTTTGGAGTTATGACTGCAAACGATATTTATATTTAAAAAAGAAATACAAACAATAAAAACCGTTTTCAAAATGTGTTCAAAATTTCAAATTATTATGGATTTAATTGGAAGAAATTCGGAACTATTTCTAATCATAAAAGAAAAGAAAAAACTGTAATATGCATCCATGACGTATGAAATATCAACGATTTCGAGAACTAATTGAATGAAGAAGTCTTCAAGGACAATGATTATACAGAACAGGTAAGAATTATTCTTTATAGTTTTAAGATTTATTGTTTTTCAGTTTTATAAAATTATTTAAGAAAAATAATGAGAAACTTTTTACGAAAGCAAGTATAAAAAACAATTCGTAATATTTCACCATGTGATTTAGTCCATTAATGTTAGTTAACAATAAAGGAATAAATATAGTATTCTAGTCTCATTTTTAGTACGAAATTAAGTATTATTTTTATAGTTTTAATCAGTATTTAAAGTAATGAGAATAAGCTTTATTTTTAACATATGAAATTGTGCAATTGCAGTTTACATATACTCATATTGCTAGAATCATTATTGCAAAGTATTTCCTTATAAAGAAAAATAAGCAGGTATTTAAATGTTTTTGTTTCCTTAAAGTGAAAAAAGTCGTTTATCGTATCGATTTAGCAAGAACTACACGAAAGATTTTTTTCAAATTTTATATAGTGCCATTTAAAATTACATTCTTTAAAATGATGTAAAAATTTGGGTACATTAAAACTTAAAATTTTATCGACCATTATTAAATAATAAAAAATAATAGACAATTAATAAAAAAATTTTTTTGCATGGAATTATTGCTGGATAAACGAATTTTATAATTTTAAGCAAACATTTTTCGTTTCTTATGAAAAGTTCTAGAGACATGGCAAAATACGCAAAAAGTAAAATTAACATTAAGTGGTCAAAACTTTCGACCACCCTCTTGACCAAACAATCAGTACCACATTTTTCCAGATTGCAGCTATCACCATATTTTGTGGTTATTAATCCGAATAAAAAAAATATATTTATTCAGAGAAATAATGTTTTTCGGTATTAAATAATATAAATTAGCATATTTGAGGTCACCCCCGACAACCATTAAGTTTCAGACCAAGTACGTGAAAATCCGATTATTAGATCAAAAGTCATTCAGGGTACTGCGATTATTATTATTATTTATTTTCTTTTGCACTTTGTACATCAAATTTTTCTTCAAAAAATAAACATAATATGCACGTAAAATTGTAAAATTTAACCAGAAAAAAAACTTAAAATATTAATTATAATTAATTTTGGGTTTACCGAGAAGAGAGGAAAAACACTTAAAAATTTCAGCAAGAGATAAATAAAGTTAATAAAGAAGTTATTTAAAAAACAACGCTAACATTCTTTGTAGAGTCATTTGTTAATTACAAAAGCAACAACGCATTTGTTATTGATTTTAAGTGCAGCCTCTGTTAATTATTAATATAAAATTTTTAATTAAAAGCAAAAAATATTATTATTTAAAATTACAATAAATTTTAATTGAATTAAACATTAATTTCTCAGGGAAACGAAGGGAGATATTCAAAACTTCTAGTTAATTTTTATAATAAAGAATTAATGAAAGAAGTTAGAGCGAAGTTAAAAGCGTACAACTGTTTTGATGCTATAGGCAAGCATCACCAGCAGTATTGAAACATTACAAAAAATACTGTTTTATCTGCGACAATTTTAAAATCTAATGTGTTACTGTCTGCGTCTAGTTGTGTCTCGTATCCTTAACTATTAGGGCTGGAAGACGTGCCACGTACCTTTAAACGCTTTTGTCACAAAAATACTTGCTACGAGCAGTACTGTGCGCAAAAAATAATAAATAAATCAAATAAATAAATCGAACATCCTGAATAATTCTTAATCTAATGATCGGATCTTCACGTTCTAGGACTCAATCTTAATGGTTCAAGAGGGTGACCTCATTTATGCTAATTAATTAGTGCTAAGTATATTTCAAGTTACGAAAGCAGACACAAAAACGGACTTTTTTTGGATAAACCTTTACCTTTTTCTCAAAGGATTCGAATTTCTGAACTCCCAAAATATCGGTGGTAGCTGCATTGTGGGGAATATGGTCTCAGTAGTTTGGTCAGGAGAACGACCCAAAGTTTGGACTCTTAATATTAATTTTACTATACAAGTATTTCGCCATATCTCGAGAACTTTTTAAGCTAATTGAAAAAAAAAATTGCACAAAATTATAAAATTAGTTTATCGAAAAAAAATTTCCTGCCAAAAATAATTTTGAGTAAATACTTAGTACTTTCCATTATTTTATTTAATTATATTTATTTTTATTTTTACATGGCAAAATACAAAGGTTAAGAGAAATTGGCAAAATATTTCCTGAAAAATAGAATATTAAAAATACGACTTTTTTGAAAGATGTATTTCGTCGTAAAAATCACGGGAATTAAAAAAAAGCGTTCGAGGTCTGTACCACAGAAAATTTGAAAGATTATTCTGATTTTTAAATGGCAATGAACACTTACTGCACACGTATACGCAGGCAGAATACAAAAAAATTTTTTTTGGAATAAATTATATTATGGAATATTTAAAACAAACTAAAACACACTTAAATTCCCAATAAAATTTTATAGTTCTGTCATGCAATTAACTATGAAAATCTAACAATAAATGTTTATTTAATTACCGTTAACTGACTACCATATACTGAAGACAGCAAAATATTTACATAAAAAGGTAACCAGTTTGTAAAATTTATTAAAAATAGAAAAAAATAAGTTTCTAAATTTCAATTTCGTAGAATTAAACCTGCTTTTTATACCCCATAAGATAATTCTTCTGTTTTAAAAATATATTACGAAATTTCATTTTAAATAGTGCATAAAATGGATAAAGATATCTCTAAAAGTTACTGTCAATTTTAATGTTGGCTGCTGAAAGGTTTTT